TTGTCTACTATATAAAATGATTTGAAATCCCTGAAACAAGTAAAAAAGAATAATTAAAAAAGAATAGTTGAAAATAACAATTATATTAAGCAACAATAAACCTGAAATGAAATGATAGTGAAATAACCTACAAGTAAAAATATAATAATTGAATAAATAAAAATTAAAGGAATGAAAAAAGAAAATAATAACAAAAAAAATTCTTAATATAATTGTTATTTTCAGCTATTCTTTTTTAATTATTCTTTTTTACTTGTTTCAGGGATTTCAAATCATTTTATATAGTAGACAATGGAAGTCCGAACTAGTGAAATTCATTTATTTACCTCATTATAAACTATCTACTTCAATTGATAATTTCAGTCGTACAGGTTTGCCTGTGTTACTATAATGAAGTAGTGATTTGACATATTCGTCAACGAAATTTTGAAAAAAAAACGTATCACAAGCCCTCCAGTTTTCCATATCTTCCTGGCACATATCATGTTCCAATTTTTCGAATAACATTGCTGTACGATTGTCTCACAGATACTTTCTTCTCATATAAACAAATTTGGACAAAGCACTATTACTTACAAAAAAGTAATTTTCGACAAAAAGTTAGCACTTTCCTTAGGATGGGCCTTCCTTTTTCTTGGTCCCTTTCGATCCATTAGTATAAGTGGAACTATCACACATCACTCTCCCGTTCGAACTGAAAATAAATGTTGAATTGTTATCTCAATACAATGCAAACAGTGAAGAGATTATAATTTATTATTTGGTATGAAGCAGATTCTTTTACTTAGGTCATAACTATATAACCGCAAAGTGGGTTGTAAACAAAAACAGATCGCTTATATAGTTAGCTAATAAAAAAATGCAGTCACACCTAATCTTCATTGTAGACCGAATAATAGTCGATTGTTGATATGATATCAAATCGAGCAGGCGGAAGTTAGAGTCAGATGAGAGGGGGCAGTTGTAATTCATAGAGATCAAGGATCTAGCAAATCAGACGTAATAAATTAGTTAACTAGGTTAGTGATTCAATGATTTTTCTGAAGAAAGGTTGGGTAGGTGACAGGATCAATTTTTCCTCAAAAAGACAATTTTTTGCCGACGTTTCGAATTTGTATAAATTCTCCTTCAGGGCTCTGTAACAATAAATTTTCATAAACATACCTTCCACGAAACTTATACGAACATAATCGTTCCAATTTTCCAAGAAGTAATGAGTTGCAATAACCACGTTTTAGAGACAACACTAACACAAAACGACATGAAACAAACGAATGACTTTATCTGTGATTCTGATAAGGAGGTGTCTGTTTTTTAATCAATGATAGACAAAAAAGGTAAATTATTCAGGTATTTTACTAATCAAATTGAAATATGCATTATTAAGGCTATCGACATTTCTTGTGAAATTGAAACAATAATAATCGTATAAGTTTTGTGGGAGGTATGTTTATGAGAACTCATTGTTACAGAGCCCTGGAGAAGAATTTAAATAAATTCGAAACTTCGGCAAGAAAACATTTGTTTTAGTAACGAAAAATGGATACTGTTGCCCAACCATCCTCTCTTCAGTAATAAATTATACTGTCAAAAACGTTATTCCCAAAAATATTAAATTGAATGCCAAGTCCAAAAAGTCAATCAAATGTCAAAGTTATAGTTGCTGCTTTCTTCGATTACCGTGGCGTATTGTTAAATTAATTTGGGACACTCAAGACGCAGGAACATAGAACAGGTAGATATCTGTATCTATGTATGGTATACTTCTATATCTGTATGGTATAAATAAGGATAGCTTCGTAAGTATGATTAGTTTAATCTTCCTCTTGAAGATGATCTCTTGTTGATCGAAACACGTGTCGAGGTGTTGAAATAACGACTTGGTGTTGGGAAAAAACTCCAGTAATATTCATTACTACACCAAATGTTCCAAACAGTGAATCACAAGTACTGCAATCATGCCTCAGCTACCGTAACACGACGCGGAAAAGGTGACTTTGTGGTAGGGTTTTGGATTTGACCCTGAAAGACTTTGATTCACGCCCCATATTTTCGCCAAGATTATTTTGGTCTCGAATGAGCCAGTGTCTAATTTGTTTGGATGAGAACAAGGATCTAGCAAATCAGACGTTATTCTTGTATTTATATTCGTTTTAAGTATTCTAACAAGCAACATAAGTAATTTCTCCCTCTTAACTCGTTTGTTAAAAATATATAGAAACATCTTTGAGACTTTTGAATAATGGTAATCCAAACCTCAACAGGTCACTTGTTCTATCTATTTTCGTAGAGCTAACAATAGTTCAACACGCTTTACTATTTTATATGTGGCACAGTCAAAACAAAATTTGGAAGAGACATTTTTGGCTAAATAATGAATCTACATTTGAACTTAATTCAGGAAACACTTGCTACATGAATAGCATTTTGCAAGTGTTTTTCATGACGAAGAATTTCAAGAACACGGTATAAACGATGAACTAGAATGTTTCCTACTTATTCACCAAACTCAAACAATTGTTCATACAGTTGCAGTATCGAAAGAATGTATCATCTTTTCCACCAACCGATTTCCTGGAGTCTTTGAAATCCACTAGATACTCGTTAGGAAAACTAGAGGATTGCTCTATTTTTCCTAGAGCAATTGGGGTTGGTCCAAAATATATGAATAATATTTCTCTTTTCCCTACATTTCATCCTCAATGTTATCAATACTCCCAATACAATTTCACAGCATCCAGTGGTCTTTCTGTGTCGTTAATATAGTTGTTTTCAAGAAGGTGGATATTGATTATAATAGTAGTAGTGATTCCCCATTAGATATATCTGAGAAAGCAAATGCAATAATCCGGCCAAATCCAAGTTAGTATTATTACATCCATAAAACATCACGGTGGCTGGAAATCAGCTTCCGTGGCAGAAGCATATATAAAAGATAGATAACAAAATTGAGATTTCTAACCAAATATTCAATTGTCCAACTTCTTTCAAACAAGTTAAAATGTCTTATAAAATTATAGAAACAACTCTTCAAGAAATATCTAACGTTTCTGATCAGCAGCAACATGGAACATCTTCGAGAACTTTATGATGAATAATCAATTAATAATTGATTTAGTTGAAAAAAAAACCTTCAGAAGTTTATTTTGAGAATTATTTTGGCAGTGAAAAAATTAAACATTTACGCATCAAAACATATGCAGAAATGTCAAGTTTTCTTGACAGTTGTCCAAAAAAACTATTTAATACATTATAAAATACCACTCAACTTGAGTCTTCACATTCTCTGGTTAACAGGTGAAACCTTTATCGGCTACCAGCCTTTCCAGCAAATGCCTAGGGATTCGAATTTACAGTTGTTTTCTCGTAGAAATAATTTTCATCACAACTCAAATCATTGATTGGTCGAAGTAAACCACCTTTTTATTCACATCATTTACTATCCACTTATTCACAGGAAAACCATTTTATTTTCCCATTACACGTCAAGCTCCAAATTTTGCAATTACAGAATTTAAACCGCACTTCTCTTGCTCCAGCACACATAATAAAATGGAGGTCAGTAATCATTTAATTTCCACACGTGGACAAGTTATTATGTTTATTACAAACGGGCTGTCTGCCAAGGAATAATTGTCACAATTTGAATATTTGTGCCACCACACAAGAAAATATGACATTATCATCGATCTTGTGCAGACAAATTGTGATGATTAAGTCAGAATCAACTAAATACTGAATGAGTTGTCACAATGTGTTCGTAACAATTGAAGAACGAGTTATGTTTAGACCACGAGGGTCAGAGTTATTTTTGGATTGAGGCAGTTGTCATATTTTTCCTACTCATCGCTGAGGATTCCCTTCATGAGTAGATTTACATATCCAAATGTATTTTTTCGATCAATATTCCTTTCTTTTTTCTAAAGATGTTCGGTATTTAACTCAAACCTGATTGAAAACAGAATTCTTCGCGGGAAATATAATGATAAGTTATTAAAGATTTGTCAGAGAAGATAACTTTATTCATAAGATTTTTAACTAGAACTAACTACTCACAAATTTTCGATTATGAACAAGACAGCAGGACAATCAAATATGAACTCAATAACATTTGTATTTCCTCCAAACTTCATGTTACTCAGTTAAAGAAGGTAGTTTCACAAACTACACTGTACATATTTCACTATTACAGTAGCTTTTTTGTGATGTTATTCACTACTTGTTATCCATTACGAAAGAGCTAACTGTGATGGCAAAACATGTAATATTTTTGTCAACGAACAGGTATAGTTGAAGTAAACGGTATTGTGCTCATTTAAAGTTGGCGACACCCTCAAAGGTCAAAAAAACCAATGCATAGAAATTAACCGGCTTGGATGATTTTTACTGAGCTTTATTATTGGCTGAAGGCTCATAAAATTGAATTTGAAATCATCTTACGGTGGCGAATAGAAATCGGGTATGGTAATCGTCGTCGTGTCCAGTTCAGGAACTGATCGCGATTCGAGTAGTTGTAATTATTTAAAATTTTTGTTATCTGTTCAAAATGTGGCGCCCTTGTTCAAGTACTAATAGTAATAACGAGTGTGATAACAACGCAGACTTTTTCCAGTGAAGTGATTCCAATAGCGATAGTGAACAACGCAAAAAAGAGATACCAGTGAATAAGATTCGGATGCATTTGAATATTAAAACACAGAGAGTATGTTTCAATGTATATAAGAATCTACATCTCAAGTTTGGTTTCGAGGGAAACAAACTATTACAAGCAACATCAGATAGAATAGTCAAAAACAAACCGTATGGACGCAAGACGCGATGTGATACAGGATTACCAAAACCTTTAGATGTTCATCTAATAAAATCATTGAAAAAATAATATACCACTGTTACAAAAGTAATGAGATTCCTACAACTGAAATCATAAAGAAGAGATTGAATACTTCCGTGAACTGCTGTGACAAAACACTTCAGAATTGGATAAAGAAACTAGGATTTAGATTTAAAATAATAAACAAACGTCAATCAGTTATGGGAAGCAGACGAATAGTGGAATTGCGTAACAAATACTTAGAACAAATAAATAAATATAGACAAGAACAACGGCAAATTTTCTGTTTGTACGAAACTTGGTATGACACTCACGATACAGTTACGAAAGGGTGGCCTGATGGTTTGAGAATATGTACGCCTAACATGCCTGCAAACAAAGGATGGCAACTGATCATTGTGCATTGCGGAGGAAGTAAAGGATATTAGTTTGAAGAAAATGGAAAAAAGGAATTTCTTGTGTTGACAAAGCATTGCTTTCTGGCAAAAAAAATACTTTTGAAGTCAAGGCTTGGCTTTGAGGTTAGTGCACTGTCTACAATTGCTGAATCACTGTTCACGTTGAATGAGTCGAAATTTCCATCTCCTTCCACAACTTTTCGAACATTTTCACTTCAATTCACATCTAATGGTATTTTTTTTGGTATTATTATCTATATCAAATTAATTTCTGTTAACTAATCCAGTTCTTCAACAACATTGTCTTTGTTCGCCATGTTGTCCTTCCGAAACAAGTGCCATGCACTTATCGAACTATGTATATGCTCAGTTATGGACGAAACAGACTGGTTCAAATTTGACGATAGTCGTGTCACTAAGTTGTCTGGCGATGTATTGAATTTATTGGAGCCTCTGGAGATACCCTACATTTTGTTTCATGAAAAAGAGGACATTGGCAAATTAAGATCTTCAGATGATGTGGTGCTGCGGGTTTTCCTGCAGCTGAAAAAGCAAACGCGCCACTGGAATTAATGAAGTCGCCCCGGAGCGCCAATTAATTTTTGTTGTTTCATAATTTCATGATTTGTATTACTTTCTTCTTTGATAATCTCAAATTGTTATAAATATTACCTAGCTATTACATATTTTAAATATGCCCCAATATTATTAACACGCTTCATATCATTGTAATGTCAAAATTTTGACAGTTACTTTGAGTTCTCAGCAGTTGACATCTAATAGTCGAAGAAAAAAACGTCATTATATTCGTTAATAATGAACTTCCATTAATGGGGTCCAAATCAGCAACTCGAGGTATTGGTTCTCAGAAAAAAATTGGGTCAAAGGACTTGAAATTACCCAAACTCAGAACTGTATCAGAAGAAGTGGTCAACATTGTCGAGGCAGAACGATCTCTCGAAAGTGATAAAAGTACCGATGAGGAATTGTGCCGGACTGACTACAGGAAACAGTTATACAATACGTTTTTCAGTACTTTGATGAACGATATTCTTTCAAATCGGGAAACTCTGAGTGTGAGTCAATCAGCTGTTGAAGACACTGGTAGTATCAGTTGTGAATATGATCCTCAAATTAAATCAAATCTGATTCCCTCAATCGATGGATCCAACAGCGCTGTGGAAAAGTCTACCAATCTGACATCCTCCGTTCCAGGTAACAACAAAAAAGTATCGATTTGAATTTTGAACTATTAGGTTTTTTCAAAAGTTAGGTTTGTTTTCTGGGTTTACTTCAAACTGTGATATGCGTCATTTGACTCAGTGCATTTTTGCCACCGTTAGCATAACAATTGTGTGATCGGGATTCGATTAGGTCGACGAAGACTGTTTATGCCTGGTCCTGTTTGGCGAAGGTTCAACCGGTGAGAAAGTTATCGAAGTGCTTGACAAGATGGTAATCGGTTGGTGAGGGGTCTGGGGAATATGGTGGATGACGCAGAACTTCAACGCTCAATTCGTTCAATTTTCAAGCGGTGATTTGTGAAACGTGCAAATGGGTGTTGTCGTGGAGCACAATTGACCCTCTTCAGTCAACCAGTGCTGGTTCCTGCTGACGTAATTTTCGGCATATTTCGACGATGTTCTCACAGTAGGACTCTGCTGTGATGGTTTGGCCCGGTTGTAGATAATTATAGTGCCGTGGCAATTTCTGTCGATCTTTCAGATCGTGAGTCACCTACTTTTCAAGCTCTTTGATCTTTCCAATACGTTTCAAACCATCAAAAACTGCATGGGAGCTGACGCCCACTTCTTCCGCCATCCCACGCACCTTTTGTGATGGATCAGTCTCCATCAGGGTCCTGAATTACTGTAGGCCGACCACTTAGGGGCTCATCTTCGAAGTTGAAATTTCTGAAACGAAGTTTTGCAAACCAACGTTGAATAGTACTTTCATCAACACCATCATTGCCTAATGCCTGGTTAATTTTTCGAGCTGTTCCAGCAGCTCTTTGCTTCAATTCGAATTCGTCTAGAAAGATTGTCCGAAAATCGCTTCACGATATCATATAGTTACGAGTATAAGCTGAAAAGAGGCAAAAAACCAAAATTTGGAAAACATTGAACGCTATCAATGTATAGGGTACAAAATTCTCTTCCGATCAGTGTATACCAAGATTCATTAAAATTAATATTTATTCTCCATTGTTTCTCCAAAGACAGTATTTGTTCTTGTTTCGAAAATATGGTGACTTGAGGTTACTCGAGTAACATAAATACGACATTAAACAGAAATGCGAACTGAATCAACGAAATAATGAAATATATCAACTAAAGCTGCTAACTAAAGTTAAAAACGTAAACAAAGGGCTGAGGGACTTCTTACCGGTCATGACTCAGTCCGGCAGATGTATCTAGTGTACCTAGATCTGTATTATAATAAGACCTCTGCACTTGGCTGCACCGCGCTAATGAGATCAATAGCATGAAAATCGGGTCCGTGAGTGTTACATTTGCAAATTCTCCTCTCCCTGAATGTGTGAAGTATACTCATTGAGGTTTTATTCGTTGTTTGTTCTTCATTATGAGTCTTGTTCATTTCTAAAAAATAATATTTTTTAGGACTTTTGGCATATAAAATCTTGATTCGTATCATAATCATTCTAGATGACGTTTTCTGCTGAAGCGTATGATTTAATATATCGCCTTCGATCACTGTTTTGATAATTGATACGATTATTTAGTGTTTTAGATGTCTGACCAATATGACTTTTCACAATTTTGAGGAGAAATTTTGTGAATAGTATTTGACTCAGTTTCGTTTCCTATAGCAACTTCAATTCTACTATATGAATTTAATATGGTTATAACATACTTTTTAGCAATAACATTGAAACGATTAAAACTTTTGAAAAAACCAATAAATGAAAAGTTTTTCGAAATTGGGTCGAAAGAGGGCATTTGCATCACTGGCACGCCTTATAGATTCCCAATGATTCACAAGCCGGACATAATTCCTATCATCACCGTTCTCCATTGTTTTTCCAAAGACAGCATTTGTTCTTGTCTCAAAAATATGGTGACTCGAGGTTACTCGAGTAACAGAACATTAAACAGAAATGCGAACTGAATCAACGAAATCATGAAATATTTCAACTAAATCTGCTAACTGGAGTTAAAAGTAAATTGCATAAACATATTTTGAATAGTGAAATTCGTATTATAATCATACTAAATGACGTGGTCTGCCGAAGCGCATGATTTAATATATCGCCTTCAATCACTGTCTCAATAAATAATGCGATTATTTAGTGTTCTAGATGTCTGACCAATGCCACAATTTTGAGAAGACATTTTGTGAATAGCATCTGACTGAGTGTTTATGTATGGTTACAGTGCTTTTGTCCTGTGTTAGTCGGGTTAATGGATCTTCTCTCTTTCCTTGGACATTGCTATTTCTATGTATGGGTTGGGTTATCCTTGGTGAGGTTACCCGGGTATAGTTGTGGGTGGTTTGTTGATTGATTCGGGATCTGATGAGTCTTGGGGTATAGGATTCCTGGTCTCCTCCTCTGGCAGTGAGCTGTCTTTTAACTGATCGCCAGAAGGAACTTTTCAAGGATGTCCTGAAACCGCTCCGAGATATCCTCCAGGGCTCCTAGGACCCTGCCAGGAGAAAATGGGAGCTTTTTCCTCCTTGGGCCCCCCGGAGCGTCCAAGGGTGGTGTTGCTGCTTCTCATTGTTCTGGTAATGTATTTGCCTCGGAGATCCTGAAATTCAAAATTTATAGGGGTTAGTTTTACGGTGTTACGTAGTTTATTGGAGGTGAGATCATAGCTTTATAGTCCATGATCGGTCTTATGTAGGTTTCGTACGTGTGTAATAGTGTTTTGCTGTCGCAACTTCCGAGCTTCAAGAGGTTTGCTTTTTTCTTGACTCTGTCAAGGATATATCCCAGATAGGCTTCCTTCGGAATAATAATCCGTTTACTGAATGTGTTGGATACGGATATTTTTGATAAAAATACTTGTGAAATTAAACAACTCCATCAATTACTCAAAATACAACTTCCTCATTGACTTACTCCATCTAAGTGATTCTTTTCAGTGAATGTTTCTGAGTGATCTAAGTGATGCTGGTTAGGTGCCATAGACTTAATCACTTGAAGACCCGCTGCCAATGAGAATGAATTCCCGGATGGCGTAAGTCAAAAAGATCAACAACAAAAATGTTATTCGATGAGACGTAGAAAAGTATGTGATTTCCATTCCGCAGAATGAATCACTTGATACCTACTAGTCGCTAATTAGGGCAACAATAGCAAAATAACCCGATATAATAATTCCGCCAACGAGTGATTCATTCAAGCATGTTTTCCAAATGCAAAAAACGATTTTTAATTTCATCAACTTGTGATATCCCTACGAATGATTTGCTCTCATAGTTTCTATGAGGATATTTGATCATTATTATAATCGCTTCGATCTTTGTTTCAGAAATGGTTCCTTTTCAGAACCGAAATTTATCGTCTTTCGAAAGGATTACCAATGTTCAAGAAGTGTCGCACACTGTGAGTAGCTACCATATATGCTGTCTGTTCGAAAAATGAGGTGAATTTTAATTTTTCTCAGAAAATATATATTTATTCATCAATTTATGCTTTGTACCCTTCAGATATATTACACTTGGGCCATCGTTTTTTCATGGGTCACTTCAATTTTGGGAACAGAAAAAAGTCGCAAAAGGTTAAATTTGGTGAATATGGGAGGCATGATTACGGTGTTGTTTCTGCCCAAAAAATTACTAATGAGCAATGACGATTGAGTAGGTGCATTATCGTGGTGCAAAAGCCATGACTTGTTTTTTCACAATACCGGACGTTTTCTTCATATAGCTTCTCGCAAGCGACGCTCAACTTCAAGATAATACCCATAAAGAATGAAAGAAAAAAGAAAAGAAACTCTTCATTCAGTTGCCCGTACTCGAAAAGATGTTTACGGTGAATACCAACGTGCTAACTGGAACCTGTTAATGGCTAGACAACCAACATTGCCTAGTTCTCTCAAGGTTGTATTTTGGAATGCCAACAGCATTTCAAATAAGAAATTCGTTTTTGAGAATTTTCTTATACAACAAAACATCGATGTTGCACTGGTGCAGGAAACCCACCTGCACAATGAACCTTTTGGTATTCCAAACTACCGTTTTTACCACAGAGAACGCGTTGGACGTGCTGGAGGAGGAGTTGGCATTTTTGTCAAACGTAATCTTCCTCACGTACAATTCGGCATTGACTCGGATCAGTTACATGCCACGGAAGCCGTGGGCGTTGAACTCCAACTGAGAAGAGGTCGTCATAGACTAATCTCAGTTACAACCCTCCGCGGAATCACTGGATGAACTGCTGACGTCGACAAATACCCCCACAATTGCTGCTGGTGACTTCAACGCCAAGCACAATCTGTGGAGCAGACTCACCAATGCGAACGGCCGAGCGCTCCATGCACATGCTGACAGGCATGAGTATCGAGTGATGAGTCCAGATGAGCCCACTTTCTACCGTGGCTATTTAAGGCCTGACGTGCTTGATATCGCACTGCTCAGGAACGTCTCCATGTCCTGCGAAGTGTACACTTTGTCGGAACTTGACTCACATCATAATCCAGTCATCCTGATGCTGGGTGATGATCACCCTCCCCAGAATTATCGCATGAGATCATCTACGGATTGGGAAGCCTTCAAGGCTCACCTAGTGGAGACACGTACAGACTGTGAGGCGCTTCAAACTCGCAACGGTCTCGACGCGGCAGTGGAAGATTTCGAATTGTCTCTGAACAACGCTTTTCGCGCAGCCACAACCAGGACAGAGTGTCCTCTGCGGACCTACAATGAGTTTCCTCCCAGGATAAAGAACCTTATCCGGGAGAGAAATCGACTCAGAAGAGTTTATCAGTGGACTCTCTACCCTGGAGATAAGGCTGCGGCTAGCAGGATGGCCAACCAGGTTAAACAGGCCATCACTAATTATAGAAACGAGAGGTGGAGCGAGTATTTGGAATCGCTCGAACCTGGGGATGACGAGCTCTGGCGAGTCATCCGCAGGCTCGAGAAGAGCAAAACCGCTCCCTCACCTCTTCACGTACAGCGCGGCATTTGCTACTCTCTCGCCGAGAAGGCGTTGGCTTTTGCAGACACAATGGAGAGTCAGTTTCAACTTTACGTTGATCCGGATGATGATATTGACCGTGATATCCGGCTGGAACACCAGGTTAGGCGCATACTTAGGGAAAATGATGACGATGTGATCCATCCAGCTTCGGAGGAAGAACTGAGGGGGTACATTAGGGCATCCAAACCCAAGAAGGCTCCGGAAATTGATTCAATCAACAATAGTTTGTTGAAGCAGCTCCCGGAGAACTTCATCAGATACTTCCCTCGAAGATGAAAGCATGCCGTAGTTGTCATGATTCCAAAACAGGGCCAGAACCCTCTTTTCCCCAGAATTATCGCCCGATTAGTCTGCTTTGCTCAACAGCTGAGTTGGCTGAACGTGTTGTGCTGCAAAGGCTAACGGAAGAAGTTGAAGACCGAAATGTTCTGCCTGATGAACAATTCGGCTTCAGGAGGGCACACTCCACCGAGCTGCAGGCCCTGAGACTCGTCGAAAATTCCATCTCAGAGCTGAACAACAGGAAGACAGTTCATCTCGTCCTCCTGGATATTTCGAAAGCCTTCGACGGAGTCTGGCATGAAGGCCTGCTACACAAAATGCTCGATTTTGATCTGTTTCGGGATCTGGTCCGGTGGATTAGGTCCTTTCTGAAAGTCAGAACATTTCAGGTCCGAGTTAAAGGAACCCTGTCTCCCGCCAGGGTTCGAAGGGGTCGAAGCTGGAGTGCCTCAGGGAGCTGTGCTGTCTCCACTACTGTACATCCTTTACGTGGTCGACTTTCCGAGGTTCGATCACGTGAAGGTTTCCCTTTACGCCGAAGATATGGCTCTCCCCGCTTCTTCCATGGGTCGGGCGTTGGCGGTCGTCTACATGCAACGCGCATTGGACGACCTCGAATGCTGGTACCTTGACTGGAAGATTCGACTAAATCCAGAAAAAACTCAGGCGATAGACTTGGGGGACGTGAAGTTTCTCCAGACGTAATGGTCACGATATCAGGCAGGGAGATCGAATGGCAAACGCGAGTCAAGTAGCTAGGTCTTTGGGTAGACCGCCGACTCACCTGGGCAAATCACATTGATTATATCAAGAGCAAAGTGCAGATGAGGATAGCTAAACTCTATCCTCTGGTCAATAGAAATTCGAAACTCAATCTTAAAAAAAGATTTTACTATACAACACGATGTACAAGCCTGTCATCATGTATGCTTCAGGTGCTTGGGGACAAACCGCCTCGTCAAACCTCTCCATTTTGGAAAGATTGCAAAACAAACTTATCAGGATGCTGGTGATTGCTCCATGGTTCGTGCGGAATGAAGCCATCCGCAGAGATTTGAAGCTGTTAACCATACAGCAGTCCATTCAGTTGAGGAATCAGAGAGTTTTCGAGTTAGCGGAAACTCATGATAACCCATTAGTTAGGGAAGCTGTAGATTACACTATAGATGACCTCACTCGATTCAGAAGACCCCGTCGCTTGGTTGAGTGAAGGCCCCACGACGTCTTTTAAAATGAACAGTTTGTTCATCAAACACCCCAGTCAGGAAGGGGTACACAAGGCCAGAGCGGCATAGAGGTCGTTGACCTTTATGTCGCCACCAAAACACCTTACGTTATGAACCATTCGTCCTCATGACGAATCTCAGTTGAAAGGGTAAGGGAAAAAATTTCCGACCTGATCAAAATGAACATGACTATGATACGTGCATTTTTTGCTCTTGGCTCTCCTGGGCCCTTCCATTGGGACGATTGGACTCTGGTTTCAATCTGGATCGCCATTGACGTCATTCAACATTTCCTGAGCGATGCTCATGAGACAATTTTTTTTTTCAGAATTCAGCAATTTTAGAACGATCTTTGGTGCTATACGCTGACGTCCCCAGTGCTATCGATACGCTGACATCCTCAGTTACTTCCCTTATAGTGATTCGACGATTTTCTATAACAATTTTCTTCGCTTTCCCAACATTGTCATCGGTTGTTGATGTGCTGGGGCGTCCATGGGTCGTCATTCACATCTTCTTGACCTTCTGTGAAGAGCTTGTACCACTTCTAAACATTTCTCTGACTCAGGGTACAATCAATGTATGCCACTGTCAACATTTCAAATGCTTTTGAGCACATCATTCCATCTTTCACACAACATTTGAAGCAAATACTTCGATCCATTGTTTTCAATAGCAGAAAATCGCCAAACACGAAAAATATTTTAACTTTTATGTCTCTCACCAACAAACTAAACATGCTAAACAGCTGAACTGTGAACATATGTTCGAGACGAGTGTACCAACATAAAAAAATCGCTGATGGAATGTACGCAGCCCGCAAAATTTGAACATCCACTTTATTTTTTGAGCAGTACACGTATACATTATTTTTCAGAAACCATTTAGAAACAACCCACTGTCGTTGGTCTGGAGAAAAACCACAACATTGACATCTGTAACGAAAGTTAGCTTTGGACGTCAGAGCGTGTTAAGAAAATAAAGTAATTGAGCAAGCAATGGTGATTTCGTTTGGCTTGAGCGACATAATCCTAAAATTCTCAACTTCTATTAAAGCCCTCTATTGTTCACTGGTCCGTCCACACCTGGAGTAATGTTCTTCTGCCTGATCCCCTCATTGTTTTACTTATATCAGGAACATCGAAAATGTCCAACACAACTTCCTTAGATACATAGCATATAAATCAGGTAGTCGTTGCGAGTATGAGTTGCTCTGAGCACTGGGAAACTAGAAGGAAACAGAGAGATCTGACATTACTTTTCAATATTATTGACGGCAAATTCAGTTGCGCTGAACTCCTAGAAAAAATTCATCTACATATTCAATACCGCTCAACTCCACAGCAACAAACATTCGAAAGCTACATTCCAAGAATCTTACAATTAGCCAATGGTAATGTTGATCTTGGGATGTTTAACATCTCCTTGCATCATTTTAAAACTCAATCACGGAATAGTAATATTTCAGTGTATAAGGTAGTTTATGTGGTATAAGTTTTATTGTCGTTCATTGTTTTTTGTCGTTTCATACCCCAAAATCAACCCCTTTCAAACTTTAAATTCACCCCTTTCAAGCTATTCTCAGTTGCAATTTGTTATTCAGCACCTTATCTGATTTTATTTCAATTATAATTTAACATTGTAATGTATAGTTCAAATGGGCTTGCTCGTACATAAATAAAACACAAAAGACCTTCCTTTCAAGTCTATATTCTGGTCCAACTGAACTGTGGTAAAATAAGAGACTCAGAACATTTGCGCTCTGTCTAACGTGAGTGGGTTCTTTCTGATGAGTTTCCCTAAAGACCTTGTGAAACGTACTCAACCATAACGTTCATCGTCAATGGCTTGACCATTCACAAATTAGTGAGAGCTGACTTAAGGTTTTCTCAGTATCGACTAAGATTTTTGTTTTTCCGTACACATGTATCAACTGGATCAAAGTTAATTTTTTACAGACTGAAGTGAGTGTCGAAAATGAAACAAAAACAGAGAGAATAGAATTTAAGAATGGTAACATTTATGTAGGAGAGACTCTAGAAGATTTGATGCATGGACATGGNTTGCGTTCATAAGGTTTGTTTTTGACTATTTTACGTACAGTTGAGGAAAGAATTTCGGTCAAATCTGATGTTGCTTGTGATATATCGTTTCCCTCGAAACCAAACTTGCATGATTTACACATCTTTGCAAATAGTTTATTTTGGAATAGATTGTTATTTTTCTTTCTTCGATGTAATCTACACATTTTTCAAGGGCCAATTCAAAAAGGGTTATCCTTCAGGCAGAGGAAAAATGACTCTCCCGGAACTGAGCGTCTACGAAGGTTACTTTGGCAATGGCTACTTCCACGGCGAGGGAGTTTTTAATCTTGTATACACCCCAATGATATACAAAGGAAATTGGGTGAGCGGTAAGAAACATGGTAGGTTGAAATGATGATGATTTGAATGACTAATTCTTAATTAGCTTTTCTAACATTATTATTTATAAAAGCCGTTTCATGAATGAAGGTTTTGAAATATTGAAAATGAGAAGATTTCCACAACGTGTCAATACAATAATTTTTCCGTAAAATATCTCAAATTGATTCAGGTCAGTATGTGAAACTGCTTTTGCTTCAATCATGAGTACTTTGAAATCTTTGCGAAATGGAACTATCCTGGCCCTGATGACGTGCCCGTCATCATTTTCAAAAAGTGCCCAAATGAACTCGCACCAGTATTTTGCCGACTTTTTAACCTGTCTAACAAGGAAGGGGTTTTTCGTTCTTGTTGGACGATTGCTCGCGTTCAACCTATTCCCAAAACGGCAAGAAAAATCTTCTAGATAACTCCAGTCGCTTTGCTATCAGTAATATCAAAAATCGCGGAGAAAGTCGTGAACCACCATATCCCCAAATTTTTGGAAGGCTTCAACATCTTGAGTGATCATCAATATGACTTTCGAAAACAAAAATCAACAGGCGACCTTCTATCGTTTGTCACTTATATTTGAGAAACATGGAGAATAAAGAGCCATTGCGCTTGATATTTCTAAGGCCTTTGACCGTGTGTGGCATGAGGATTTGCTGGCCAAACTTCGATGCTATGGCTTGCCGGATCATTTTTGTGTATGGCTCTCCAGCTTCTTGAAATAACGTTCCCTGCAAGTGGGTGTCGATGGATATCTCTCGAATACTTTTATTTTCAACGCTGGTTTTCCCCAGGGATCTATATGGTTTCCAACCCTCTTTTTATTGTATATCAACAACAGGACATCGGCCGCGGAAGTACATCTTCACCGGCAGCAGGTGATTGGGGTGGACGTAATCAGGTTCAATTCTGTGCCAGAAAAACCAAGGCATCGGTTTTCTCCAAGAAGATAAATGTCTCCGAACCGGAGATGATAATGTCAGGTCAGACAATTCCGCTTTCTGCTTTGATGAGTTTGTTAGGAGTTTAAATGGAGACCAATATGTGTTGGCACAGTCATATCGCTGGAATTTCGAAGGCTGATTCTCAAAAGCTTGGAACACTGTTCCGAAGCAGAAAACTGTACACACCTCAGCAACTTTTGATGCTTTATGAATCTTTAATCAGACCTACTTTGGAGTATTTTCCTCATATATGCAGCTCCGCCCACAAACATGCCCTAAAGCTGCTGGATTCCATCCAGAAAAGAGCCATCCGCTTGATTGGAGACGAGAACATCACTTGCAACCATGATTGAAACATCGAAGAAAGGTTGGAGATTTATCTCTTTCTATAGATACTTTCAAGGGAAGTGTTCAAGTGGCTCGACATATTTGATTCCACCTAGAGCGGTACATATCAGAAATACGCGACGGACTGTGGCTGCTCATCGTTAAGAGGTTCAATTCAGTATACCTCAACAAAGAAGTTTTCGAATGGTTTGTTGCCAGTGAGGCGGTGGAAAATTGTAGCACTCGAAACAACTTGAATTCTTCGCACCAAACATGTTTTTTGGCCAAAAAAGCTTCAACAAGGAGCTTTTGATTCTTCCATCATTAGCAGTTAACGTAGTACTAGGAATGAATGCCCTTCAAACAAAAGGGTTCCACACAGGGCCGTAGCGAAAAAAAAACAGGGGGAGGAGGGAATCCAAATTTTCCCAACCCCACCAGCAAAATTTCCCAACTTTCGAAAAAATGAAAGCCGAGTGTTGACTAGTTTCGGCTATTACACCATTTTCAAAACTAACTGATTACATTTAAATCTGACTAATTTATACCTAAGTTGCCTATCCTATCATATATGATCTGGTACCTACATTTTATATACCTGTAATATTCATGAACATATATATACAGGCCAAACTGGTAGAAATTTTGATACAAAGTAGCATGAACATGTCATTTCGGATAAAAAATCATTAATTCGAAACATAAAATAGATAAAGATAATTTAAAGATCCTTCACACATGCGAAAAAGGGAAAATGATGAATCTGTTGAAATCTATGGAAATAAACAAGTCAAAGAAAAATCCCAATTGTATTGTCTTCAACGAACAACTTGATCTAAATAGTAGTCCTCTCCTGAATCTATAATCCAGTTCCCAAAACCTACATTATATCAAAAGCTTTGTTTTGTTATATTCATGAATATTACAGGTATACAAAATGTAGGTAATGTAGTTATTTATGATAGGATAGGCAATTTAGGTATAAATTGGTCAGATTTAAATGTAATCAGTTAGTTTTGAAAATGGTGTAATAGCCGAAACTAGTCAACAATAAAGAAATATTGTGGAAAATAGACAAAAGTGTGTTTTTGTAGTGTATCCTCAGCATTTTTTACTATCATTCACTATTATCTTCACGGCCCAAAATTTACCAACTGCTTCCCAACTTTTCCCAAGTCGAAAAAGTAGGGGGGTAGCTCCCCCCTATCCCCCTATGGCGACGGCCTTGGTTCCACATAAAACTCCTAGATGGTTTGAATGTATCGTATAATGTGAAGAATGACGTAACTTTGGCCCTGGAACCGATCAAGCGTCAGAATTTAATCGATTCCCAAGAAGAAAGACTGACCTCCCTCATTTGTAATGCAGTAGACCTTCAAAAAATCCTAAGAAACTCCACTCAGCTCAGTATCATTCAACCACTCTTCTATACTTGAATGCTTCTTGCTATTTCGATCGAAATCCATGCTTCAGTGCATTGAGAATCAACTTCGAATTACCGTTATTCGTTTCTTCTCTCTCGTTGAACGTGGTCCTTGCCAGGATTACAAGATCATCTGCGTAAGTTTGCAGAGGACGTTGTTGAGGACGTCAAGCAGACTTTCCTTCAGGATTGACCACAGATGAGGGATAATACCTTGGTCTGAGAATAACTCCTGGTGACCCAGAAGCTATTGGCTTGAATAGTCATACTTACTGTTATGTTCACGAAGATGGAGAAAATCTAATTCAGTTATGGACAATTCAATGTATAACTAACGTATTCCAAAAACACTTTATTGTGAGATTTTCACTAAATTGTTTTACAAAAACGCAACACGTGTTTCGCCATACAATGGCTTCATCTGGCGTGTCTTTGACCTCCCTCATTTGTAATGCAGTAGACCTTCAAAAAATCCTTAGAAACTCCACTCAGCTCAGTATCATTCAACCACTCTTCTATACTTGAATGGATTTCGATCGAAATCCATGTTTCAGTGCATTGAGAATCAACTTCGAATTACCGTTATTCGTTTCTTCTCTCTCGTTGAACGTGGTCCTTGCCAGGATTACAGGATAATCTGCGTGTTTGCAGAGGACGTTGTTGAGGACGTCAAGCAGACTTTCCTTCAGGATTGACCACAGATGAGGGATGATACCTTGCTCTGAGAATAACTCCTGGTGACCCAGAAGCTATTGGCTTTGATAGTCACACTTACTGTTGTGTTTACGAAGATGGAGAAGATCTAAGTCAGTTATGGTCAATTCAATGCATTTTCAAGACCATCGATTTTGTGTAATACAGTCACGGCAATCTCTTCATTGCTAATGGATCGACATAGTTTCATGAAAAGGGACCCTTCTCAAGCGTCCGTCCAGCATCCTATTGAGTGCCTCTTCTCGAGCACATTTTGAATTTCGTAAAAATAGGTTGAGAAATGAAGAAAAACATGGTGGTGTACCATAAGTCTGTATCATACGGTATACCACCTTTGCCGCCATCTAACTGTATGATATGATTTCCCACGCCACAGTAGCAATTATAGTCCTCCTGAAGAAGCACAGCTGGGAATGTGACCTCTTCTCCAGGAGACTTGAAGGTGTAAATGATTTTATTGCCAATTTGATTGTCGATGCAGTGATAACTTTCTTGGCGACCTTCCAGATGTTCTTTTTGAACGCTTGATGCCCCCAATGAGAGAAGGTCGATTCTTATTAGATGTCAAACTACCCAGAAAAGTGGTTCTCTATGAATGTTCCGTCAGGTCGTTTCATTGTTTATATTCCATATATTAAACTTCTATTATTCTCGATAGTTTCAATCAAGAACGAACCTAATATTTTGCACTAAAATAACTGGAATAACTAGATTTCTTAATAATGGGGCTACAAAAACTGTCAATAATTCTTCATTATAGTGAAGAACGCCACTTTTGTATCTCTCTTATAGGTAAATATCAAGTTATGACTTTTATATAAATTCCTCAGGTCATGGATGGCTGATGTACGAAGCTGATGATTGGTATGAAGGAGAATGGGTTGATGACCGCAGATCTGGTTTGGGATTCAGACATTATAAGTCTGGTGAAAAGTATGAAGGAACTTGGTCAGCAAACAAAAAAGAAGGAAACGGAAAAATGATTTGGAACAATAACGACGTAAGTATTCGGTTCAGTCAGATCCTGAGTCAAATCCGATGCAATTCAGAGAAAACGATGTACTACTGTTGAAAAAACTTTTTTTAAATTGAATTTGAGTAGAATCCCACATTTCTTATTGAAAATCGATAATCTTCCTCCCAAGGCTAATTTTCATCATTCTGTGCAGTTCAACTTATCTTCACTGAAAATTGATACTGATTTTGAACAAAAAATCAACAACAGCAGCAACAACATGGCAAGATTGTGATATATTTCAAGACAGGCAAGTGACTCTGAAGATATTTTATCTCAGTAAGGCACTCGACTATGTCATTCATAGTCTTTTTCAGGAATAAACTTAAAAAGTTAAAACTGGAACATCTGGCGTAGAATAAATCCCCAAAAACACTTTTTCCACTTACCAGAAATGCAATCCTTTTCTCGACGCAAGTTTCACTAACCAAGTTTTGGATTAAGACAAACTTTCTCGATTCATATAAGCCCACATACTATAGGAATAGAAGTTGTTTGTCCTAGTACGAGAAGTTGGGCCATTCAGATATACAGTTGGTTAGTACCTCGTCTACGGGCAGAAGGAGCGATAGCAAATATGTTGCCTGTCGTTCGCTTCAGCTTTGTTCGAGGTATGATACTCTGAAAGAATTTGATTTTCAATTATGAGAAATCATCGATTTCGAGTTGATGTGGGGCACTACCTTGCACTGACAAGAGGCCAAATAGTCGGAAACCGGTCTGCACCTGTCGGATATAATCCAACGCCCTTCGTGGTATTAGCCAGGGGAGTAGATGTTTTCTGATAGGTGTCAGTCCATGAACCTAGTGTGTAGGTAAGTGAAGACTGGCCTGAACGAATTGTTCCTTTAGATGACTTAATGTACTTTTCCAAAAGTTTTGTCCGTTTCATTGCCGTGTGTTTTTGAAGCTCCACATCTCAATAAATGTTTGTACCATTGTGTCGTATTATATACTGATCGATGTAGAATTTTGTACTCTATACAGTGATGAGTGTGCTATATGATGTCGTTAAGTAATTTTATGCCAATTTTTTCCTACGAATTCTAATTGAACCTAAATGATGCCGGAACAGCCCGAAAAATCAACTAGGCAATTGGTAATAATAGTGTTAATGAACACCTGTTTGACGTTGGTTTGCGAACATTCGTTCGGGAGAGTTTAGCTTCGAAGATGAACCCCGAAGTTACAGTTATCCAGGACGAGGATTTAAGGACCCTGGTGGGTATACCTCCATGTCAGCCATGTTATTTTCTTTACCGCAGGCAGCCACGTTTTTTCTTCAAGGCAGCACGCCCTGTATAGCATTTGATTGATGTGTTTTGAAACAACACCCTATATATCTTATGATTTTTCGAGAAGCAGACTTTTACGTTGGCAGCCATGTTTTATTTACCGCTGCACACATCATGTATACTCAATTATTATTGTTCTCTTAAACACGTAAGAAAACACTGATAAACCACTTCCGGCCCAGTTCTTTCATAGCTGCTCTACTGACTCTTCACAAACCTAACCAATTTTTGCTCTACTATTTGCACTCTTTCTTGGTACTCTTTCATTCTTTTATGAGTTGAAAGAATAACAGTTCAAAGTCAATATTCAAATATTTCATCGTCTATATGTTGATGTTGTAGTTGACGGGGACTAAATAATATTTTTTTTTTTCATAATCAAGTATTCAAGCTCACAGTTGAGAACTTTATGTTCTCTCTTTCTAGATGCATAACTTATGATACAATTTCTTCAGTGATTCAAAAAATGAAATTGAATATTGTAATCACGGGGTTTACTCTGTTTGTAACAATAAATAAAAATAAATATTCACACAAAAGGTCAATTTTGGACTTACAGGCTTGTTTTATACATATGCAGTTTAATTTGATTGGGTTTGTTTTCAGTTTTAACCGAATGTAAATTTAAACACGTATACGGTTTTCATACGGTTCATATAGTGTTGTGTTCAGAAACACATGCTATGTTGTCTAGTAGGTAAATAGTGAGAAGCCAATTTGTGGCCACAAACCTTTTGGACCAACTCGTATCGAGGGAAATTTCAATGCTTTACAGTTTTTATCACGTTCAGAACGTGTGAAACAGCTCTTAGAATTTTGCTGCTGATAAAATAGGATCCCGCTAAATTTCTCACTGAAGCAAAAGTACTTTTTGTACGTAGAAGGTGCAAAAACCTATTTTGAAACCTCTAAAAAGATATGCAATTTTTTTTTAACAAAAACCACTTTTTCTCATCCAAATCATATTTTTTATAAAAATAAATTGAAGTATCTTATGAACAATTAGAGCCAACTATGAAATGAAACCTTTGTTTATCATAAAAACCTATTTTTGGTTTGGAAAAAATTATTCAATTAATAATTTACTTGCAGGTAGAACAGTTGCAATATTTACAAAACAATAGATGATCTGATAAAATGGCATATTATCTTTGTTTTCCATGGAATTCACAACTTTTCCATTTTCAATTGTTTCACGATTGTTTGCATATAGCCTCATACAAGTTATATAGTATATCATAAAATGAATTAACAAGATATAATTTATTTCTCAGACTACATTTTCCAATACAAAAATGTTTTGTATAAATTCGAAACCCGAATTTCAAGCAACATAAAAAACACAGGATGTTTCATAAATCCTATTATATCATCTTGACTTTCATAAAAAGTCAGATTCGTCTGCATGGCCTTCCTAACTGCATTTTTTTAAGAGGTTGTCTTCATGCGAAAAAACCCAGAAATCAATCAAAATATCAAATGGTTGCTAGGTAGGCCACGGTGGTAGTGCGCCCAACTCACGATCGGAAGGCCGTGGGTTCGATTCCAGCCTCGACCAGATATTTTTCTCGAGAGACTTCATCTGGTTGAAGCTGGGATGATTCTGCAACCGTGTTAGGAATCACACGTTGATCTCGTTAGTCCTTAGCTCGCATAAGTTTCTCAACTTCTGAGAGTTGTCGTTCGTACGGGGGCGACAGCTGATTAACGGAACAACAGATTCTTTAAACAGATTTACTTAAAGTGAATAAGCGACGGACTGTGGCTGCTCATCGTTTTGAGGTTCGACTCAATACACCTCGAACGCAAGGATATTCCTGCTTGTGCTTTTTCTTTAAAAAAATATTTTTTTTCTGAATAATGAATAATCTTCGGTTATAAACTGTGAACAAAAAATTATTTCTATAATTGAGTAATGTATTATTTGATGAGCAACCATTGTATTAATCTATAGTTACACACGTACATGCGTGTGTGCAAATGGTTTGTAAATATTTATTTTCAGATTTAGACAAGATTGATACTCACTGGATTTTTTCATATTTCCNCAGACTCATGTAAATAATTTCGTATATTACTTTTGTTTCTTTGTTGTTGAAACAATGAATTTATTATTATTATTATTCCTATTATTATCCCATGCAACTCCTCTCAAAATACTGATCTCTCCTAAAGAATATCCCTTCTCAATATAAATATAAACATTCAAATATGTCTTATATAATAAATTCATGACGAAATCACAAGAAAATCAAAATATTTTAAATCTTTTCAAGTGAAAAGGGTTGGTGAAAATAATTTATGCTCACCGGAAGCCTGAATACATAAAGAACTTCAATTCCACCAGTTAATTGAAGGAAAGTATTTCATAACTAACAAATAAAATGATGATAAATATGATGAACACGAAACAATTTTGTATTTCACTACTCAGTATTGATTTTTAAATTGATTTTTTTTCAGTTCATTTCAAATGTAAACTATGAAATACCACTACTTAGATTTTTTTTCAATTGATATAAGGTTTTTAGAGGTTTTATCATAGATTAATGTTCCTCAAACAGAAATAAGATAGTGCAAATGTAGATAAATGAGACTAAAATAAATCTGTTTGAAATCTGTTTTTCCGTTAATCTGCTGTCGCACCCAAACGACCGACAACCCTAAGAAGTCGAAACTTGTGCGAGCTAAGGATTAACGAGGTCTTACCTTTTAACGTGTGATGCCTAACACGGACGTGTGATTCCTAACACGCGATATAATGTAATATTATTTCTTTTTCAGATCGCTCTCAAAGAATTCGAACCGTCTCTAATCGCCAAAATTACAAAAAATGGTATGGATTTATCCCCAAACGCATTCATTAAACTGTGCGATTCAACTTCTGGAAATAAAAAAATGTGGTGTCCATTGGAAATACCCATACATTCTGTAGCAGAAGACGTAGATTTGAAGTTTTTCATTGACCAGATATATGATTTTCTCAGTAAGCATTCACAAACGAATAGTTCTGCGACTCTTTCCCAGCCGGAAAATTTGAGGTAGGTGGAGAAGACAAATTTCAATATACACACATCGGAAAAGGGTTCTCTATGAAT